GATTTCATCCCCCTTGGCTCTTAATGTACATTGATAGATTTTTAAATGATGAAGGACTTTTTTATTTCTAGGATAAATCCCACTTTGTTTAAGGTGTATAATCCTTTTAATATGTTGTATTTGGTTTGATGACATTTTGTTGAGGATTTTCTCATATATATTCATAAGAGATGTGGGTTTGTAGTTTTCTTGTGATGTCTTTGTATGACTATCACTTCACACCCACTAGGATGGATAGCATCAAAAAGTCAGATAATCTTGGAAGGTCTGAGAATTTTCATTAATTCTTTATGTGTTTTGTAGAATTTGCCAGTTAAGCCATCTAGTTCAGAGCTTTTCTCTTTTTTTGCTTACTGACTCAGTCTATTTGTTGTAAGTCTGCTAAAGGACTGTTCTATTTCTTTTTGAATCCATTTCAGTAGTCTGTGTGCTTCTAGGAATTTGTCTTTTTTCCAGGTTATCAAATTTGTTGGTATGGAGTTGTTCATAGTATCTTTATAATCTTACTCATCTACAGTTCTGTATTAATGTTGCCACCATCATACAGTTAACCTTTGAACAACTTGGGGTTTAGGGGCAATTACCCAGCCCCCATGCAGTTGGAAATCCACGTATCACTTTTCACTCCTTCAATATGTAAATAATAGCCTCCTGTTAACTAGAAGCCTTACCAATAACAGTTGATTAACACATATTTTGTATGTTGGATGTGTTATATACTGTATTCTAGAGAATATACTGTATTCTAGCTAGAGAAAAGAAAGTGTTACTAAGAAAATCATAATGAAAATACATTTACAGTAGCATACTGTATTTACTGAAAAAAAATCTTCATGTAAGTGGACCCATGCAGTTCAAACCCATGTTGTTCAAGGGTCAACTGATTTTAGTAATTTGGGTCTTTGTTTCTTAGTCAGTCTAGTTAGAGGTGTGTGAATGTTGTTGATCTTTCAAAGAACCAACTTTTGGTTTTGTTGATGATTTCCATTGTTTTTGTTCTCTATTTTGTTATTTCCACTCAAATCTTTATTATCTCCTTCCTTCTGCTAGCTCGGGGTTTAGTTTTCATGTCTTTCTAGTTACTTAAGTTGTAAAGTGAGGTAATTGCTTGCAGTATTGCTTCTCTCTCTCTCTTTTTTTTTTAATGGAGGCATTTACAACTCCAAACTTGCATCCATACACTGCCTTTGCTGTATCCCGTAAGTTTGGCGTGGTGTGTGTATTTCATTTGTCTCCAAGTATTTTTAAATTTACCTTGTGATTTCTTAGTTTACCCATTGGTTGTTTAAGAGTGTCCTGTTTAGTATCTACATATTTGTCGACTTTCCAGCTTTTCTTCTCATAAATTTCCAGTTTCATTCCCTTGGGGTTGGAGAACATAATATATATGATGTCAGTGTTTTAAAATGTACTGATACTTGTTTTGTAGCCTAAAATATGGTACATCCTGAAGAATGTTCCATGTAAACTTGAAAAAATTAGTATTCTGCTATTGTTGGCTATAGTGTCCTATATGTCACTTAGGGCTAGTTTAAGTTTTAATCAAGTTCTTTATTTCCTTACTGATTTTATGTCTCTTTGTTCAATCCATTATGCAAAGTGGGATGCTGAAGTCTCCCACTGTTATAGAACTGTGCATTTCTCCCTTTAATAATGTCATTATTTGCCTCAATATTTTTGGTCTTTGTTGTTTAGCATATAAAGATTTATAATTGTTAATCTTCTTGATAGATTGACCCTTTTGTCAATATATAAAGACCTTTTGTCTCTTGTAACAACTTCTGACCTTATGTTAGTTTTGTCTACAATAATATCATAAAGATGAAAGTTAGGGGAGGGCAGAGTTGTAAAGGGTCAGTGCTTTGTGTGCTGTTAAAATTACGTTGGTAATGATTCAAAGTAGTTTGTTATACATTTAGGATGTTAATTATAATTATAATAATTACTAAATACTAAATAAGACATATTCAAAGAAAAATTAAGCAGGGAATAAAAATAGTATACAGTAAAAAAAATATAAAAGAAGGCAGTATTGAGGGAATTGAGGCACAAATATAGTAAGACACATAGAAACAAATAGCAAAATGACATAAGTTCTTAATAGTAGTCACTTTAATGTAAATAGATTAAATTAATGGAGGGGGGAAAAAAGTGCTCCAGCCATATATTATCACCAACTATATGCTGTCTCAGCATGTAAGATGTTTTCATTTTCTTTGATAAATTTATAGAGTGAATTGAACTGGCCTAGATTTACATTTGCAGTGTCTGCTGAAATTTTTTATAGATGAACAAAGCCTAGCTTACAATTGGACAAGATACCAACAATTTTATATTGTCTTTAGTTTCATGAAAATCTTTTAAAAATGAAGATGATAGTTTGACCTCTACTTTTCAGCCCAAGAGTGAAGAGCTAGGGGATTTTTTTTCTTGTCCTGATTTGATGTATCATCTGACATACTGTTGAAAGCAGTATTGGCTCTACACTGTAAGGGGCCAACACATCTGTTACCCAAGTTTCTCCTTTTGTGTGTCCACAGGCCATTCTAGCTGCAACATTTGAGTTTGGAAATGTAATGCTATTCAGTTTTATATATCAGTGAATAAAACTATACAATAATACATGTTTATGCTTTCTGTCTAATATAATTGGGCAATCACTATTTTCAACTCATTATCTATGTCTTTTGGGGAGACAAAAACCTTTTTATTTATTTAGAAGTAATTGCCTGTCATCCTAGATTTGTTTTAGTCTCCATATGTGCTTTCACTGCCCCTTCACCACTATGCCCAAGCCTGAATTCTCTTTTGCATATAGGGCAATTTGCTGTTTATTTACCTCTGTAATCCAGGTGTCGATGTATCTTTATATCCGTCATTAAAATAAGAGGCTTTTTTTTGGTGATGTAGGGGTCATGCTGTCATTGGTACTGTAATTCTCATTTTCATTTCTGAACTCTTAGAAAACACGATCACAACATTTACAATATTAAGAACTAAACTAGCGCTATGTCCGTACAAAGCACAACAGTTAATCCACAAAGCCAAAGACTGTAAATGCTTATGAGTGCCATGCATTTAAGTTACACACTTAAAACGCATCACTCCTGAGTGATGCAACGATGGATAGCTAATTCATTACTGCAAACCACAGTCATGGTTGCCAACATCAGAAACCGGCCGGGGTGGGGGGCGGGGGCGGGGGCGGGGGGCTACAGCAACGATGACTAAGAAAGGCCCAAAATCTGTGCCTTATCCACTTGAGTTTAAAAACAGTGTTGCTCACCGCCTTACTTTTTGATTCACTTTACAGGTTTCACACTTTGCCTCAACTTTTCCCACCGATCTCCTCAAACCTGGACCTTTTCAGTCCAGACGAAGGATTTCCTGGGACATTCCAGACAAACCTGGACGGTCAGTCACCCTTCCCCCGTCTCTCTCTTCCACTCGTTTCAGTTTTCTCTTTCAGTGTTCCCCCTACCTTAATTATCTCCTAGTCTCAGACCTTGGTCTCTCACTCTCATTCCCCCTCTCTCTCCTCTTTTGTCCCTTAGTCTCCCTCCATTCTGTTTCTCAGATTCTCCATTATTTTGTGACTCAGTCTCCTCTTTCCTGTATCAGTTTTCCTTTTTTCATCAGTCGGTCCCTGCAACATATTACTGTGGTTGTAATTTCCCTTAGGCGGATTCCTTCTCATTGTTTTTAGCATAATTAGCGGTTTATAACACCCCTTCGCTCCCTGGAACATCAGTTGTGCCCCTCGGTCCCACAGTGGAATCATCCGGTGTAGGGCTGAACCATTATCAGTACTTTTAAGTAGAATCGCCTCCAGTGGATTGTACCATTCCAAATTCCTCTTTCCCAGTAAAGGACTGTACTACTGCTACTTCTTCCCCAATCCTCCTGTTAAAGCTCTCATTGGTTTGTGTAATACTTTCCGTCATCTTGCCTCGTCCCCTCGCTGCCACGGTGGCACAGTCCAAACTCAGGTTAAGAATAAACCGAATTCCTCCGCGTGTACGGACCTGACAGGACTCTCAATATGGCGACTCCCATTAGGAGACACAGTGCGTGGGAGTCGCCATCTTGCTTCCTGAACAAAGCCAACGAGGACGCCAAGTGGGCAAAATCACACTGCAGGACTCGGCGCATGCTTCGGAGCCGCGCGCCGCACTCTCCCAGACAGGAAGCGGGAGAGTTCTTCGATCCATGTTAATCTGTGACAGCTGTCGGGGGTTATGCTGGGATGGACGTTTCGGGACCTGATAATCGAGCTGGGGGTCAGAAGGGGGATTTATGGATTAAGTCATTAGGAAGTCGGGGTTGGGCGGGGTTCTGTGAGGGTCTGTAATTGGAGGTCTATGCAGACTGATGGGAAGTCTGTGGGATGAATGTTAGGTACGTACAAGGGGTCAGTAATAGGGAGAGCAGTATGATCTGTGGGTCGGGGATGCAGGTGTTGGAGTATCCCGTGTGCCAGTGATTTGTGGACCTGTATGGCCAGTCTTGCGATCGGGGTTCCGTGGAGGTGCTCTTTGGGATTTGTGATTTCTGCACCTGGTGATTCAGTGATTTGTTGGGAGTCGATAATGCAGCCAGAGACTGGTAAGGGTCAGCTCTAGTTTAGTGGGAAACACCTCACTTTACAATTTCTGCAGGTCAGAGGCCGCCCCCACGTTGAAGCACCTCCTCGGATGATTTCTCAAACCTCCATCTCCCTCCATCACTCACGTCCTTATAGAAGAAAACATTCTATAAACAAACAAAGAAAGAAAACATTCTTCTATAAACAAACAAATCTAAAGGATTAACCTTATTATTGTCCATTCCCTCTAGTCAAACACCACCAGGAACACCCTGTAATTGATTAAGTTGGGTTTATGGCTCTAGCACCTAGCTGGGAACACGTACACCATGGAGAAAACGGCGGGGCGGGTCGGGGCAGGGGCTTCTGGTAAGAGAGCGTTAGAACTTCTTATAGGACTTATCCTTGTGTTAGGTGATTTTGAGGAAGGCCTAAGGGGGTGGACCTTGCTCTGAATTGGATATTGAGAGAAGTGGGGTAATTCAGTGATGGGGGATTTCAAATATCTAGGGTGAGGAGACTATCCTGACGGTAAATCTGTAATAGGTGAGGAAGTCGTAGTCGCTCATATTAACTCGGAGAGGGGGTGTTTTGTGTATTGGACAATGTTGATGCTTCGCCTGTCTGTGTTCAGACATGATTTCAGGGAGGTCTTGTTTTTGTCTTATTCTATCATGGTCACAGAGTGACCTTGTCTGGTGTTGATGTTCTGTGTAATTAACTTAAAGAGGAGAATTTGAGGGTCAGGCCAGCTCTGAAATGTGAGGGCTGCTTTTTTTCTTCTTCTTTTCTTATATGAGGTGTAATTTCAGCCCCGTGTCTTCCTGTTTATTGAAAGTGTTCTACATTCTGTTCCGCAAACATTTATTAAACCCCTGCTTTTTACTTGTTTCAGAGCTCCGTGTCCAAAGAGGAGCATGACTATTGGATTGTTTCCTTCCAGGTTTATTTTGACACAGCCTGGGATAACCCCATAGGAAACAGTCTGCCTTTCATGGGAGTACTCACTTCCTGTGAATGAGTTCAGCCTTCTCTGCATGACCCATTCTGGGACTGAGAAGAATTTACCAGGTAAGTATCTTTCTGCATTGTCGTATATTCCTGTTCATCTATGGTTCTGTGACACTATTTTCTTACATAGATGACTGCACTGTTGAATATCAGCAATACAAACTTAAACAAAAACATGTTAAAATCAACAAAGTCAACAGTTTTAATCTATGGATATTGACTTAGCAAGAGAATTTGCTAGATTAGGGGAAAAATGTAAAAGAGCTCTTAGGATTTTGCCAGCTGCTTGTGTCTAGGGAATATGGTTCTCAGTTTTCTACTTGGTCATTCCTATTCTTATTGTCAGGGAACTGCCCCATCTGTAGTTAAATCTTCCATACATATGTATACATGATTATTGTCTTACGGTAGAGTCTTACAGATAGAATTACAAATAGAACTGCTGGTTCAAAGGGGAACAATAAGGTGTTTGTGTATTAACAGAAATATCTGCCTTCATCCAATTAAAAATACACCTTGTAGGGAAGCCTGGGTGGCTCAGTGGGTTAAGCCTCTGCCTTTGGCTTAGGTCATGGTCTCAGTGTCCTGGAATTGAGCCCCGCATCAGGCTCTCTGCTCAGTGGAGAGCCTGCTTTCCTGTCTCTCTCTGCCTGCTGCTCTGCCTACTTGTGATCTCTGTCTGTTAAATAAATAAATAAAATCTTTTAAAAAATAAAAAAATAAAAAAAAATACACCTTTTACAAGATCTATGTAATCATATTACAAGAGGACTTTTTCACGTGGTGCTTATAGACCCTTCTATAAGGATCAAATGACCTTCTATAAGGTGACCTGATTTCCATCTGACTTCTGGTTGTGGTTGTTTCTAGACTGGTAAATGGCTCCTGGAGACTTAGTCTTTCAATCCTGATTCCTCAGACCTCTGCTTTTTTGGAAGAGAAGCAGAAAATGACCAAGTCTTATGTAAGTTGCTTGCTTATTTTGTACTTGATTTCCATATAGTCAAATGGAAAAGTGCAGAAAGCTAGAAATCAGAATTAGGGAAAAGGTAGAGAGAGCAAAGACATGGAATGAGTTGCTATGTACTATGTACATTTATGTGGTTTTAAGCCACATAAAGCAACTATTATAGTTCACGTATATGTTTGTTATATGTACGTTTTATATAAATATAATCCATATCTATATTATGTATTTTATATAAGTGTGTAAAAATTAAAGTGCAAATTTGAAAAAAATAAAGTCAAATTTATTCAGTCTTTTCTAGCAGCCACAGTGGAGAGATAGAGGATATCATATACATGATCTGGCATTCTCCACAAAAAAAATCAACTGAATTTTCAATGAAAATATTTCTTGCCATTAAGACAAAAATAAATTTATTTTGGGGGATCTTCTATAGATGATGTCCTGACCTATACTTCTGCATAAGTGTGTCAGATTTTTTGTGGTTGTGTCTTTAAATTTTTTTTTTTTTTAGAAGGCAGTCAGCATAAAGTTAGAGCTGAATTCTATAAGCATTATTCTTTGGGGGAACTAACATATAGTTTATCCAGAGATAAAACCTAGAAAAGGGGGAATGATTTCTTTCCATAGCCTTTGCTATGGTCCCATGGTTTGTGAAGGTACTCCCCAACTGAATGCCAGTTTTGGTTCATTTTTTTCAATTTATAAAATCATTTTGCTATATTTTGTCTTGGCTTGAATTATCCCTACTTGGTAAAAACATTAAAAAAAACATTGAAAAATACAAAAAATAAAAATTATAAAGTGAAAGGGACCCTCAGCATTCCCTTTCTCCTGGGATAACCAGTATTAATAATTTGTGGTGCTTAGATTTTTTTTTCTCCATCTGGAAGTCATTGATTCTCTTGTTTTTAAAACATCAAGTTTCAACTTTATTACTGAACTGATTGACTGTCCAATGTTCCCAGAACCACTTGTTGAATACACTTATTTGAAATGCTGCCTTTATTGAATTCCCATTTGTGATTAAGCCTCTTTGCTCTTCTATTCTTCAAATGTGTTTGATTCCTCTTGCTAAAGACAGAATTTTACATCATTTTTCTGAATAGGCATGGTGTAGCACTGGGCATATGATTTGGCATGCTATGGTAAAAATAAGAACGATCACTTCAGATTGAACAGGAATGTGCTGTTATAGGGTCCATTGTCATTTGAGGATGTGGCTATAGCTTTCACCAAGGAGGAGTGGCAGCAACTGGACCGCGCTCAGAGGACCCTGTACAGGGATGTGATGCTGGAGAACTTCAGCCACCTGGTCTCGTTGGGTAAGGATGGCTTCCCCCATATCACAACAATTCCCAATCCAGTGCCTCTCTCTTCTCCTTTAATCAAGTTGGGTGGGTTCCTGGCATAGGTAATGACTGACTGTGTGCTCTCTTTTTTCTCTCCAGCAGAAGGCCAGTGCTCTGCCGAGAGCCAGCTGGACAGCTTCACTGTGGGGCTCCTAAAATAGCACTTTTTTTTTTTTTAAATGTAGGGTTTGACTCAGGACCCTGAGATCAAGAGCTGAGCTGAGCTGAGATCAAGAGTCGGACACTTTGACCGACTGAGCCACCCGGGTGCCTAGAACCCTTTCTTTTTTTTCTTCAGTGTAGCCAACCGAGTTCCTCTCTGATTTCTCCATAATAGGGCATCCAGTGTCCAAACCAGATGTCATCTCCAAGTTGGAACAAGGACAAGAGCCATGGATTGTAAAAAGAGATATACCAAGTTGGATCTATCCAGGTAAAAAGCTGGCATGTGGGAGTCAAGGGAAGTGAAATCTCAGTTTCTTTGTTTTTGATTTTAATTGGCGGGTGGCTGAGATTTATGCTTCCAACCAGATTGGCCGCTCCTGTCCCTTCTTGCTCCTGTGCTGAGTATGTAGTAAGTATTCAACAACTTGTTAATTAATAGTGAACCATAAAGAGAAGAAAAATTTCTTTCTGATTCACTCAACAATTATATCTTTAGTGGCTTTCTGGAAGAAATTCAAAGGCAATAGAAGTCAGATGCTTTTCAGGACCACAGGTTGTACATGGAAAGACAAGACATCAGAGTTCATGGCTGCATAAAATCGTACCACCAATATAATTAATGTTTTATGATTTCCTGAAAATTATAGTCTAAAGAGATGTGGCATAACTTAAAAAGGCATGTTTTCCAAACAAGAACCAGCTACTCTGAAGTATATTTGAAGTGTGGGTTAGGCAAGAGGAGGGTGAAGGCAAGCTCAGGCAATGGGTGTGTACAAATTCTTGGAGTTAGGAATCATTGTGGCTTTTCTGCAGAAATTTGCTAGGCTTGCCTTCAATAAAAACTACTTATTCGGGGAATAAAGGGATATAAGCATGGATACACAGTGTGAATATGGACAGGTAAAGTCCATACTGTAGCTGTACTCTGAATTTTCTACTGTTTTATTTATACAACTTTGAGATCTAACTCACATGCCTTACAATTCACCCATTCAAAGTTAACAATGTAGTGGTTTTATCATATTCGCAGATATGTGAAACGATTGCTGCAGTCAATTTTAAAACATTTTATCACCTACGAAAGAAATCTCGTACCCTTTTGCTATCACACCCCTGCTCCGCATCTCCAGCCCTAAGCAACCACTAATCTGCTTTCACTATTGATTTACCTACTCTTGATATTTTATTTAAACGAAATTGTACAATATGTGATCTTTGTGATCTTTTGTGACTGGCTTCTTTCATTTAGCATGCTGTTTCTGAGGGTTATCACGTTATAGTATGTATCCGTACTTTGTTTCTTTTTTGGCTGAATAATACTCCATTGTGTGGATACACTACATTTAGTATCCATTCATCAGTTAATGGATATTTGGCTTGTGTCCACCTTTTGGAAACATGAATAATGCTGCTATAAGCATTCATGTGCAAGTTCTTGTGTAGGTGTATGTTTTACTTCTTCTTTGGTAAAAGTGGAACTGCTAGGTCGTATGGGAACTCTGGGTTTAACTAAAATCATCTGTAATGACTAATTATGTTGAGTGTAATTTTATCTGCTTGTTGGCCATTATGTATCTTCTTCAGAAAATAGTCTATTGAGAGACTTTGTCTATTTTGAATTATTTGTCTTTTTATTATAGAATTGTAAGAATTCTTTATAGAGGTAAAATTCTTACGCAGAACTTACATGGAACTCCAGAAAGTCCGGTTTTTCTATTTTTCTTTTGTTGCCTTTGCTTTGGTATCGTATCCAAGAATCTGTTGCCAAATCCAAGGTCATGAAGATTTACCCCAAGTTTTTTTTCGAGAAGTTTTATACTGTCAGTGCTCTTACATTTAGGTCTTTGAGTTAATTTTTGCACATGGTGTGAAGTAAGTGTCCAACTCCCTTCTTTTGCTTGTGGCAGTCCATGTGTTCCAGCACTACTGATTGATTTTTATTTTGATTATGACATGAGTTTTAATTTATTTTCTTTAATACCACTATATGTAAATACAGTGTTGTATTAGTTTCAGGTGCACAGTATAGCAGTTCAGCAATTCCGTATATTTCTCAGTGCTCATCAAGATAAGTGAGCTCTTAATCCCCTTCACCTGAGTCACCCATCCCCTCACCTACCCCATCACCCACCTCCCCTCTGTTTGTTCTCTGTAGTTGAGTCTGTTTTTTGGTTTGTCTCTTTTTTGTTAGTTTCTTCCTTTGTTCATTTGTTTTGTTTCTTAAATTCTACATAGGAGTGAAATCAAATGGTATTTCTCTGACTGGCTTATTTCATTTAGTATTCTACTCTCTAGATCCATCCATGTTGTTGCAAATGGCAAGATTTCATTCTTTCTTATGGATGAATGATAAAATTCCAAGAATTCAATATTCTGATGGCCGAATAATATATGTGTATATGTATACCACATCTTTATCCATTCATCTGTTGATGGACACTTCCATAATTTGGCTGTTGTAAATAATGCTGCAATAAACATAGGGGTGCATGTATCCCTTTGAGTTAGTGTTTTTGTATTTTGGGGGTAAATACCCAGTAATGTGATTACTGGATCATTGGGTAGTTCTGTTTTTAATTTTTTTTTTTAAGATTTTATTTATTTATTTATTTGTCAGAGAGAGAGAGAGAGAGAGAGCGAGCGCACGGGAGAACACAAGCAGGCAGAGGCAGAGAGAGAAGCAGGCTCCCCACTGAGCAAGGAGCCCGATGCGGGACTCGATCCCAGGACGCTGGGATCATGACCTGAGCCGAAGGCAGCGGCTTAACCAACAGAGCCACCCAGGCGTCCCTGTTTTTAATTTTTTGAGGAGCCTCCATACTGACTTCCACAGTGGCTGCACCAGTTTGCATTCCCACCAACAGTGCGCAAGTGCTCTCTTTTCTCCACATCCTCACCACCACTTGTTGTTTCTTGAGCTTTTGATTTTAGCCATTGTGACATGTGTGAGGTGCTATCTCATTTTGGTTTTGATTTGCATTTCCCTGATGATGAGTGATGTTGAGCATGTTTTCTGTGTCTATTGGCCATCTGGATGTCTTCTTTGGAGATATGTCTGTTCATGTCTTCTGCCCATTTTTAATTATATTATTTGGTTTTTGGGTATTGAGTTGTATAAGTTCCTTAAATATATTGGATACTAACCATCTACCAGATGTGTCATTTGCAAATATCTTCTCCCATTCTAAGGTGGTCTTTTAGTTTTACTGGTTTTCTTTGCTGTGCAAAAGCTTTTTATTTTGATGCAGTCCCAATAGTTTATTTTTGCTTTTCCATTGCCTTGCCTCAAGAGACACATCTAAAAAGATGTTGTTAGGGCTGATGTCAGAAAAATTATTCCCTATACTCTCTTTTAGGATTTTTATGGTTTCAGTTCTCATTTAGGTCCTTAATCCATTTTGAGTTTACTTTTGTGTAAGGTGTAAGAAAGTGGTCCTTTTTCATTCTTTTGCATATAGGTGTCCAGTTTTCCCAACACCATTTGTTGGAATGATGTCTTTCCCATTGCATATTCTTGCCTCTTTTGTTGAAGATTAATTGACCGTAGAACTGTGGGTTTATATCTGAGCTCCCTATTCTGTTCTTTTGATCCATGTGTCTGTTTTTGTGCCAGGACCATATTGTTTTGATTACTGCAGTTTTGTAGTATAACTTGAAGTCTGAATTGTGATGCCTCTAGTTTTGTTTTTCTTTTTCAAGATTTCTTTGGCTATTCTGGATCTTTTGTGGTTCCATACAAATTTTAGGATTATTTTTTCTAGTTCTGTGAAAAATGCTGTTGGCATTTTGGTAGAGATTGCCTTAAATGAGTGGATGGCTTTGGGTAATATAGACATTTTAACAATATTTGTTCTTCCAATCAATGAGCATGGAATGTCTTTCTGTTTGTGTTATCTATAATTTATTTCATCAGTGTTTTATAGTTTTCAGAATACAGGTCTTTTACCTCTTTGGTTAAGTTTATTCTTAGGTATTTTATTATTTTTGGTACAGTTGTAAATGAGATTGTTAATTTTTCTTTTAGCTGCTTCATTATTAATGTAAAGAAATGTAATAAATTTCTGTACATTGATGTTGTATTCTGTAACCTTGCTGAATTCATTTATCAGTTCCAGCAGTTTTTTGGTGGCATCTTTAGGGTTTTCTAAATGTGGTATCATGTCATCTGCAAATAGTGGAGGTCTTACTTCTTCTTTACCAGTTTGGATGCCTTTTATTTCTTCTTGTCCTATTGCTGTGGCTAGGACTTCCAGTAATATGGAATAAAAGCGGGCATCCTTGTCTTGTTCCTGACCTGAGAGCTTTTGCTCATTGAGTATGATGTTAGCTATGGGTTTTTCATATATGGACTTTATTATGTTGAGGTATGTGCCCTCTGCACCTAATTTTTTGAGGGTTTTTATCATGAATATATGTTATACTTTGTTAAATGCTTTTTCTACATCTATTGAAATGATCACTTGGCTTTATCCTTTTTCTGACTGATATGACGTATCAATTAACTTTTTGGCAAATATTAAACCATCTTGCATATGGAATAAATCCTACTTGATCATAGTGAATAAATTTTTTAATGTATTGTTGGATTCTGTTTGCTAATATTTTGTTGAGGATTTTCTCATCTATGTTCACCAGAGATATTGGCCTATAGTTCTCTTTTTTTGCTTTCTGCTTTCTCAAATCTAATAAGCCCATCTGGTGAAATTTTAATTTCAGCCTTAGAATTTTCATTTGGTTCTTTTATGTTTTAACTTACGCAAAATAAATGTTGGGCATAGAGTAAGTTAACTACTACCACAATCATGATACAAAAGAGTTCTAATAGTCAAAATTTCCTCTTCCTGCCTCTTTATAGAAACTAGTTTCTTTATATGCTTTTTTCCTCTTCTGAAATTACATATTTGTTCACTCATTGCCTAGCAGTCTTTTCCTTTAAGTTCTTTAATATGTTTATAATAGCTTCTTTGGGATCTTTATTTACAAAATATAGCATTTGTACCCACATAGAGTCATTTTCTATTGACTGATTTTATTCCTTAGTTTAGATCAGTTTTCTGTTTCTTTATATGTCTAGTAATTTTTGGTTGAAAATGCTACATCGTAGATGATATGTTGTAGTGTGGATTCTTCTGATCCTTCTAAGGGTTTCTGTTTTGTCTTAGAGGCATTTAACTTGCTTAGGCTTAAACTGAAATCTTTTTGTCCTATAGAGTGTCATTGCTGATGGCTCTCTTTAGTTCTTGTTTGTTTGTTTAAGTCTGGCTCTCTAAGAGACTCCCCTCCACCTTTGGATAAGGTAGAGGTAAGCTAGTGATTTGGGCAGAGGTTGTATGAGACATCAAACAAAAGCGTGGCTTTCACTGTTTGCTGCCCGAGTAGTGCATGTTTCAGAACACTTTACAAGTATAGCAAATTTGCAAGACTCCAAATTTTCAATCACTGTTGGGCTCTCTAGAATATCTTTTTACAGATCTTTTAGTGGTCAGGTGGAGGTATATGGACGGTATTATCTCAACCTTTTATGACTCTTTTGGTTCCAAATTCCTGTTAAATTTCTTGCTACTCTTACTAACAGCATTAAGCTGTATCTTGTGGATTTGTGTTATCTTTTAATGCCCCATAAACTAGGGATGGGAGATGGGAAAACCCTGAGAAAGAATGCTAGCTCCCCATTCTTACATAATGAAGTAGAAGTTTCTGGTGAGTAAGCATTTTTCAGCTTATTACCTCCTGCTAATAGTTTTTCAGTGCCCTAAATTAGTTGCCTTTTTATTTTATTTGTTTTTGTACTTGGTTTTTTTGGGAGCAGAATTCCTCAACTACCTCAGCCATCACTACTGGAAGTAAAGTCCATCTTTAATTACTAGTGATAAATTTACATTTTCAAATGGCCTATTGCCCTCCCAGTTCTCTGTCTCCTGGACCATCATATATCATCCATTTATTTTTACATCTTTCGTCCTCTACTAAATCTTTTTATCTTTTTGATTTTTTTTTATTCTTTCAGAGAGGGAGACTAGACTTGAAAATCCTCAGTTGGATATACCTGGAGGTGTTTCCTTCCATAAGGAGATATTGGCAAATGTGACAAGGGAGCATTCATTGTACTCCATTTTTAAGGTCTGGCAGGGTGATGACCATCTGGAGAGAGATGCGGAAAATCAAGACAAACTTCTTAGGCAAGTCATGGTCATCAAAAACAAAACAGTTTCTGAAGAGTCAGGCTATTCATATAAGACGTTAGGAAAAATATTTCATGACTACGCAGACCTAGATGCTTCAAGACAAGGACTGTATGACTGTGACTCATTTGAAAAGAGCTTGGAACCTAATGTAAAGTTATTCAGTTGTAATAGGGGTTATGCAAGAAAAAACACTGATGAGAATTTTGGGTGTGGGAGTACACCTGTTTCTTCCTATTCTAAGCATGAAAAAATTCATAATGGAGTGAAACACTGTGAAGATCGTCAGTGTGGAAAGATTATCAGCAATAAACAATCTCTTGTTCAATATTTGAATGTTGAAACTGGAGAGAAGACCTGTGTATGCATTGAATGCGGAAAATCTTTTCTAAAAAAGTCACAACTCATCATACATCAAAGAATTCATACTGGAGAGAAACCATATGATTGTGGTGCATGTGGGAAAGCCTTCAGTGAGAAGTCACATCTCATTGTACATCAGAGAACTCATACTGGGGAGAAACCTTATGAGTGTTCTGAATGTGGAAAAGCTTTCTCTCAAAAATCATCCCTCATTATACATCAGAGAGTTCATTCTGGGGAAAAACCATATGAATGTAATGACTGTGGGAAAGCCTTCTCCCAGAAATCCCCCCTCATTATACATCAGAGAATTCACACTGGAGAGAAACCTTACGAATGTAGAGAGTGTGGGAAGGCCTTCTCCCAGAAGTCACAGCTGATTATACATCATAGAGCTCATACTGGAGAGAAGCCGTATGAATGTACTGAATGTGGGAAAGCCTTCTGTGAGAAGTCCCACCTCATTATACATAAAAGAATTCACACTGGGGAGAAACCCTACAAATGTGCTCAATGTGAGGAAGCCTTCAGCAGGAAGTCAGAACTCATTATACATCAGATAATTCATACTGGGGAGAAACCTTATGAATGTACTAAATGTGGGAAGACCTTCTCCCGGAAGTCACAGCTCATCATACATCAGAGAACACATACTGGAGAGAAACCCTACAAATGCAGTGAATGCGGAAAAGCCTTCTGTCAGCAGTCACATCTCACTGGACATCAGAGAATTCACACAGGAGAAAAACCTTATATATGCAGTGAATGTGGGAAAGCCTTCTCTCAGAAGTCCCACCTCCCGGGGCATCAGCGCATTCATACGGGAGAGAAACCTTACGTGTGTGCTGAGTGTGGAAAGGCCTTTTCCCAGAAGTCAGACCTTGTTGTACATCGGAGAATTCATACTGGGGAGAAACCCTATCAGTGTACTATCTGTGGTAAAGCATTCATCCAGAAGTCACAACTCACTGTACACCAGAGAATTCATACAGTGGTAAAATCATAAGAATGTATTAAGCACAGATAAAGTCTTCTTCAGTATTTTCTCAAGCCTTAAAAATGACACAAAACCCATGGATTTCAATGAGTTTGGGAACATCTTTACTGATAAAGTTCCTAATGTATTTAATTTTTTTATCAGCAATAATACAGACATCTCAGTTATATAAATAATGGGTATTTTCACTATGACATGTAAGACTTTTGAACTTGTGAACTGAATGATTAATATCATAAGTTACATATATAGTTTATTTTGAAGTTATGTATTTATGTTATATAATAAGAATTGGATATGTGATAATATTGTTAATGTTAACTTAGCATAATTATGGCTGTGCAGTAATTCCCCACAGAGGACATGAAGAAAGCTTGAGTCAGAAGAAGCCATGACCTTGAAACTGAGCCTGGGGGAAGAATTTGATTGTCATTTCTAAAGGTACCTGTAAAATTATTCTTGTAGATGGATTGAAAGACGGGTTGATAAGGTCCAATAAACGTAGTCTCTTTGGTTGGTTGTTTCATTTCAAGAATATAAGTTGATCTGTGTCCATGGATGGACCCAGGATCTTGGAATTGACACTTCTTGCTATTTCTTTCTTTTACTCTTCCTGTCTAGGAGCTTGGCATGTTGGAAAGACATAGATGGTCATGGGTTTTAAAGCTTATTCCACTACTCACCGATTGTGTAACTTCAGGGAAACCTTTTTTCATCCGCAGTATCTGTTCCCTCATCTATGTATAAAATTCTGGCAGAGAACATGTTTTTAGTTCGTATTTGTCCCCTTATCTTCCCTCTCTGTTCTTTTGCAGGAGGTTGCTAATACCCAGGTATATACCTTTAAATTTGATTTGCATTCCAGACACTGTGTTTTTGATTCCCTGATTTCTTTTTCTGTCTTTTTTCCATTAACACTGCTCTTGTGTCTGGTGGCCTAACTCATACTGTTGTAGAGACCTCACTTTTTATTTTATTTTGCAAATACATGTAAGTTATGGTGTTTGCACATAAAGACCCTGTGTGATACCATCACAGATCCTGTTTTACCCTTTCTCAGAAGCATCCGTTCTTTTTCCTAAGAATTGAATGGCCCTCAGGGAAAAATCCACAGGGAATGTGGAAGACATGCCTGGGGTAGCCTACATGGGCAGGTATGAATCAGGACATAAAAATCCCACCTGCTATCTCTAAAATGTTTCTCTATTCTTTGTTGTAGGCCCAACTCTTCTCTCATAAGAATCTTTAGGAAAGCATCTTGATGAGGAAAAGTCCTATGTAGCAAGGATGTGTGGCTAAATATGATTTCTGCAAGAAAGTTCCTACTTGATTCCTTCATATGTCCTGCTTAGCTGCTCTTTCTCTGCAGGGCCCCAGTGTTTACTATAAGAAGTTTAAGACTCTGTATGGGAACCTCTGCAGAGGACATGGCATGCTTAAAAAGATGTGCGAATGTGTATGAGAAAATTCTCTGTGTCATTATAAATAACAGTGATTGATATTGGATATGATTGGCCATTTGGACCTGGGAAATAAAACATTCAGGCATGTACCGTGGAGTGATCTGCTTTGAGAGGTCTTGATGGCAGTTGGTCCCATCTGGCCCTTACAGAAGCATTGGAAAATTAGGGTCTCAGGAACATACAGAAATGTTGTGAGAAGGAAATGATAATATGGTAACAGTTATGGAAATTGTGTGAGGAAAATAAAGATTCAAGAGTTCTTATCTTCTCGTGAGCCTTCCATTTTGCCTTTTCACCTTCCAGGGAACCTCATTGATCTGATAGGATATAATATGTACTATATATTGCCATAAAATATAGCAAAATTTAATACCTATTAGTGTATCGGAAAATTTCCCTCTATAGTCTGGAAAAAAGATAACGTTCATTCTCACCAGTTTTATTCAACATTGCATTGAAAGACCTAGTCAGGGAAAGCAGGGAAGAAAAAAGTTGGTATAATGATTGGAAAGCAATAAAACGCATTATTTGTTGATAAAATTATATGCATAGAGATGAAAATGTGTAAGTTAATTATTAGAAATAGGAAGTAGCAATGTTTCTAAAAATAAAGTTTTTAAAAATAAAGTTTATGCATTAGATATAAAATGAAAATGTAAAGCTATCAGTTACAGTATCATGAAAAATACATCATGTCTAGAAACATGTATTTCCAGTACAGTGTTGAAGAGAAGGGGCAAGAATGGGCATCCTTGTATTGTTCTTGATCTTAGAGGAAGAGCTTTCTTTGCCACTGATTATGATGTTAGCTGTGAGCGTGCCATATGTTGCCTTCATTACGTGGAGGTACGTTCTTTCTGTGACTAATTTGTTGAGAATTTTTATCATGAAAGGGCGTTGAATTTTTGATACTTGATTTTTCTGCAATGTGTTGAGATGATTTTTTTATCCTTTATTCTGTTATTATGGTGAATTACTCCTATTAATTTGTATATGTTGAAACGTCCTTGCATCCCAGGTGGTCATGGTGTATGACCCTTTAAATGTGCTGTTGAATTCTGTGGGCTTGCATTTTGTTGAGAATTTTGCATTTATATTCATCAATAATGTTGGACTTTTCTTGTAGTGCCCTTATCTGGCTTTGGTGTCAAAGTAATGCTGGCCTTGTAAAATGAATTTGGGAGTGTTCCCTTCAGTATTTTTGGAGTTTAAGTAGGATTGTTGTTAATTCTTTAAATACTTGGTGGAATTCACCAATCAAACTATCTGATCCTGGGCTTTTCTTTGTTGAGATGTTTTTGATTACTGATTCAGCCTCTTACTCATTATTGGTCTGTTAAGATTTTCTATGAATGATTCAGTTTCATATGTTGTATGTTTCTAGGAATTTATTTCTTCTCGAGTATCCAGTTTGTTAGCATAATTGTTCAAAGTCGTGTTATGATCATTGTATTTCTGTGGTATCAGTTGTAATATCTCCTCTTTCATTTCTAATTTTACTTGATTCCTCTCTCCTTTTTTCTTAGTGTGACTGATGGTGTGTTAATTTTGCTCATCTTTTTAAAAAAAAAACAGCTTTTTAGTTTCATTGACCTTTTTCTGTTGTTTTTCTGGTCTCTATTTCATTTATTTCTGCTCTGATCTTTATTATTTCCTTTCTTCTGCTAACCTTTGGCTTATTTTTCTTTTTCTATGGCTTTGAGGTGTAAATTTGGTTGTTTATTTGAGATCTTTGTTTCTTAGTGTAGGCATTTATCACTGTAAACTACCTGCTTAGAACTGCTTTTGCTACATCCAATAGGGTTTGGTAAGTTGTGTTTCCATTTTCATTTGTTTTCAAGGTACTTTTAAAATATCTTGGTTGTTCAGGTATATGTTAAATTTCCACATATTTGTGAGCTTTCAGTTTTCTTTGTTATTTTCTAGTTTCATACCATTGTGGTCAGAAAACATACTGAGTATGATTTCAGTGTTCTTAAATTTGCTCAGACTTATTTGTGACCTACCATATGATCTATCCTGGAGAATGTTCTGTGTGCCCTTGAGAAGGGTGTGTATTTTGCTGCTGTTGGATGCAATGTTTTGCATATGTCTGCTAGGTCCAATGGATCTAAAGTGTAGTGTTTCCTTATTGATTTTCTGTCTTCCTGATCAATCCGTTGTTGCAAATAGGGCGCCAAAGTCTTCTGTTATGATTGTATTTCAGACCTGTTAGTATTTGCTTAATACATTTAAGTGCTCTGGTATTGGATGTATATATATAATTGTTATATATTCTTTAAGACTTGATCCCTTTATTAGCACATAGTGATTTTTTTTTTGGCTCTGTTACAGTTTTTAACTTAAAAGTGTATTTTGTCTGATATAAGTATAGCTACCTTTGATCACTTTTGGTTTCCATTTGCTTGGAATATCTTTTTTCATCTTGTCACGTTCATCCTACCCAAGATTCCATATTTGCCTCATGTAGCTATGTTTTAAGCTTTTTCTTTTCAGCTAGAATTTGTTCACAAGGGTTCTTATAGTCTGGAATCAATCCTTTTTTAACCTGCTACTCTAAGATTTTCTTTCTTTTGAGAAACTGTTTGCTCCAAAGCATCCCAGCAAGGCATCATACTGATCACCTAACTGATGCGGGATGGGTTTCTTATCTACAAATGGAATCTCAGGTTTTTTTTTTATTTGGATCCCTTTTCTATATTATTATTGTTCTTGTTCATTTTCATTGCTGTCTTATTTCCAATATGAAGCTTCCATAGATCTTATTTCTCCTTGTCGCCATTATTCTGTGAATGATTTAGGTTGTAATTTATCTTCTCCTTTTTCCTTTTTTTTTTTTTTTCCTCCCTCTCTTTCAGTTTTCCCTTATTAATACTCTGGAGTAAGCAGAAGTTACACTTACGGGACTGTTTGGCTTGTTTAGTTGACTTGAAGCACAGAGTGAGCTGTTCATGGTAGACTGTGAAGAGGACAGAATGGTTGAACTTGAAGTTGAATCCGGTCTGTAATGCATAAGTCTCCTCCTATGTTCAGGAGTACCTTTGTTTATATTCATCTTTTCTGGACCTTCCTGACTCCTTTTCTCCTTGATTCTCTTTATCCCGATTTTCTTCATTCTTGTTCTGTGGTTCTGGTAGAACAACTTCTTAATGTTTTTCACCCTCTTCAGTGTCACCCCCTGCATTGATCTTCTAGACTGTTTTGATTTTCTAGATCTTGCTTTTCTTTGGGATTCAAATTCTTTATCTTTAAGACAAGTGAGGTATGATGTATATCTCTCTTTGACCTCTGATGTGGGGGAAGCAGTGCCAGCAGTAGTTATAGTTCGTGTTATTTGTTTGGAGGTTTTTGATTACTAATTCAATCTCCTTACTAGTTTTAGTTCTATTCAGATTTTCTATTTCTCTTTCATTCAGCAGTGGTAAGTTTTTGGGTTTGTAAGAATTTGTCCATTTCATTTAGATTATCCAGTTTTTTGGTGTACATTTGTTCATAGGACTCTCATAATCTCTTTTATTTCTGTAAAATCAATTATATCGCCTTTTTTTAATTTCTGATTTTATTTGAATCTTTTCTCTTTTTTCCTAAATCAGTCTAGCTTAAAGTTTATCAATTTTGTTGAGCTTTTTGAAGAACCAATTCTTGGATTCATTGATTTTCATTATTTTTATCATGTGTGTTGTTTATATCTGCTCCAGTCTTTATTATTTATTTTCTTTCTTCTGGTAGCCTTGAGCAGGCACTCATAACTATCATTATATAATTTTATCACTGTAGAATTACAGTGTATTATGATTCTGTGTTCTTAGATGACTGATTAGATCAGATTTCTCTAAGACTAGCAGACCTCCATATGTAACACAACACTCCCCCAAGGGCTACTACTTATCACCTTGCTTTATTTCACTTTTTTAATGTCACCGTTGTCATGTAATTTGTTTTGATTTACTTTCAGTCCACTTTGGTAGCATTTAAGCACAATTAGGGCTGGAATATTTAGGTGCATTATTACAATTATATGGCTCAAGCACT